TCACAGCCCTTACCTCCTGACCTCCAATGAACGCTGATCACGTTTACTGGCCATTTCCCCACTAGCATGTGGGCTCCATGGGAACAGAGGTTACACTCTAGGCAGTACCTCTTAGTAACCCCTTCCCCCTGCCCTTCCAGAATCTTGGAAGGATTTCCCCTCCACCTCGGGGTCCCTTTTCAGAGACCCCCATACACAACCATACTCGGAGTCCCATCACCCAACAGTCTCCCCGCTCCTTTCTCAAATTCATTCTTGGTCCGCCTCATGGCTGTGCAGGGCACGGCAGTAGGAAGGGTTGGGGGACCTACTAGGGGCTGCGGGGATCTGCTGACCAATGGAGTGGAGGCTCTCAGGACTAAAACTAGTCTTGGCGGCTGTGGACAGGAGACCTGAGGCTACCTGGAGGGGTGGGGTTCAGTGACCACGAAGCAGACAGTTTGGTGAATGCCGCGTATGCTGTGACTGCTCAACAGTCAGGTAGAGACCAAGACAGGACCGGACCATGGACAAAATTGCCCTTTTCTTGGGAAATCGGAGCACAGCTGTTTCTGATGTAGTCTTTCTTCTGGATGCTAGGTCCTCGAAGTGTTAGTCGCTCAGTTGTGTCCGACTCCTTGCGACCCCATGGACTGTAGCCTGCCAGGCTCCTCTGTCTACGGTGATTCTCCAGGCAAGAATACTGGAGTGGGTTGCCATGCCCTTCTCCAAGGGATCTTCCCCAGCTGGGTCTCCCACACTGTGGGCAAATTCTTTACCATCTGAGCCACCAGGGAAGCCCCTAGGTCCTCAAAGACAACTACAAATACCATAACTTTCTTGCCAACTATTACCATTCTCAGTGTCAAAATCAACATTGTAAAGGACTGGAAATTTTATCTGAGCATCTTGGACCAGTTTAGAGAATATTCAGTAAAAATAGGACTAAGTCATTCATATTCAGATTAGTAGTGCTCAATTCTGGACGTGGATAAACAAAGAAAGAACAGGACTAAGTTCTTATTTGCGACCCCATGGACTATACAGTCCATGGAATTCTCCAGGCCAGAATACTGGAGTGGGTAGCCGTTCCCTTCTCCAGCGGATCTTCCCGGCCCAGGAATCAAACCCAGGTCTCCCGCATTGCAGGCAGATTCTTTACCAGCTGAGCCACCAGGGAAGCCCAAGAATACTGGAGCGGGCAGCCTTTCCCTTCTCCGGTGGATCTTCCCGACCCAGGAATTGAACCGGGGTCTCCTGCATTGCAGGTGGATTCTTTACCAGCTGAGCCCCGGGGAAGTGACTTTCACTTACTTGACATCTTCCAGATGTGACAGGGATTTTTCCTTTTAAGAGCAAACCCCTCGTCCCTCCAGCTTTTCCATTAACAGTAGTAATCTGAGAATACAGAACCTAGAGGAATGCCGGCTGCCCTAACAATGAACCCCACAGCCTCAGAGGCCAGGCAGTACTCTGGTTTGAAGGCGTCATTTGAGGACAAGGGGTGTCCAGAAGGTTCGATGGGCCAGGCTGATGCCACCTGCGGGTGGAGTCGGTTGGTCACACCTACTTGAAGGGAGGCTGGGAAACACAATGGTGAGATGGTTGGATGGCATCACTGACTCAATGGATATGAGTTTCAGCAAGCTCCGGGAGTTGGTCATGGACAGGGAGGCCTGGTGTGCTGCAGTCCATGGGGTTGCAAAGAGTTGGACATGACTGAGCAACTGAACTGAACTGACTGGGAAACACTTGAGCTGTTTGCTCAGGAAGTGGGTTTGGGTGAACTGAGCCGGTCCTGTCCAGAGTAGCTTCCTATTGTAAAGATTTACCTCCTGCTGCCTCCCTCCCTTACCTCTGGCTTTTGCTTAAACTGGGCAGAGACCCTGGAGACCAATCCAGCTGGATTTCTTCCCCATCCTCCCAAGCAGGCCACCACCAAGGCCTCAGTATAGGGGGCCGGGCTGTGAGTTGAGCTGTCTTTCAAGATCTGCTGGAAGTCCCGTCCCCCAGCCCGTGAATGTGACCTTGCTTGGAAATAAGGTCATTAAAAAAGATCAGTGGCTCAGATGGTAAAGAATCTGCCTGCAATGCAGGAGACTTGGGTCTGTTACCTGAGTCAGGAAGTTACCCCAAAGGGAAAGGCTACCCACTCCAGTATGCTTGCCTGGAAAATCCCATGGACAGAGGAGCCTGGTGGGCTACACTCCATGGGGTTGCAAAGAATCTGACACAACTGAGCAACTAACACATGCACACATAGAAGATCGAGTTCAGATGAGGTCACACTTGACTCGGCCGGGCCCTCTCCCATAACTGGGGTCCTTAAAGAGAGGTTTGGCCAGGCACAGGGGGATGGCGATGGGCCACCCTCATCTCGGACTTCTGGCCTTCAGATCGGTGAGAGGATGGCACTTTGATAGCAGCTCTGGGCTAAAATCGCCACCTCTTCCGCCAGCCTTGTCAGTCAAGGGGCCTCGCTGAGCCCTTTCTCAACTGCAAAATGGTGCAAGGACCGCACTGGAGGGCTGGTGAAGGGGGGCAGAAGTGCTCTCAGAGGCTCTTGCTTGCTCAGCACACCCCAGGCCCGGGGAGGGGTTGGCTTTCAGTGGTCCCTGGGCCCCCTCAATGCTGCAGACACCCCGTTCCCCTGGTCTGGCCTAGCTGGCGCTGGCTTACCCCTTGACCCTGGACTAGAGTCACTTCTAAAGGAGGCCATCGCCCTCCCCATCACCTCCAGGTGGGGCTGGGTTCTATCGGCTGCCCCCACCCCATTCCGTTCACACCCTGCTGCTGCTGCTGCCAAGTCACTTCAGTCGTGTCCAACTCTGTGTGACCCCATGGACTGCAGCCCACCAGGCTCCTCCATCCACGGGATTTTCCAGGCAAGAATACTGGAGTGGGGTGCCATTGCCTTCTCCGGTTCTCTCCCTGAGCTACGTGGTATTCCAAGGGAGAGCTGAGGGCAAGGCCTTTGGGAGGCTCTCTTGCTCTAACCTGATGTCCACACTCAGCCATGTACGGTGGGTGAGGGATTGGCCAATTCCAGGTGGGGGTACTCTGGGCCACACTGATTCCCGTTAATCAGTAATGACAGATTCCTATATCACAAGAGCAATTAAATCAGCAGCAAGAAAACAAGATCCCCACTAACCCAAATGTCCCCCTGTCATCTATGTCATGTCACCTTGACTGTGGTGGGGGGCGGAGGGGGGAAACGGGACATTGTTCTGTGCATAGATACACTAGGCTTTGTGCTTAAAGTCTGGTTGGGTACAGAAAAAAACACACACACACAGTTAGGTTAAAATATCCAAAGAAAATTTACTGCAACTTTCGTACAATTGAATTTGTGCTACAAGACATGTTGCATAGGAAACTATTTAAAGCCCCTGAGGAAAAAAATCTCCGTATTTAAGGTGCGACTGGTTTTGTTTCTTCTTTGGGGAAAAGTGAGAGATGCTCTCTGGGAAGACTGAAGGCGGAGAGTGGAGTGCAGAATATAAGATGATTTCGTGGGATGATGGGGATGGGGAATCGTGGGGTGTCTCCGTTTTTGCAGCATAAAGTCTGTAGTGTTCTTTTTGTTGTTGTTTTCTAGCTGTGGGTCTTCCGAATTGGACTCAATAGCTGTAGAAGAATGTTTTAGCCCAATAAGGGATTTAAATGGATTATATTAAGTAATTAACGCGCTTCCAGCAAGCAGATTTAGAGAATGAGATTCCGGAATCCTAGATGGTGCATCGCTCACGTAAGCACAGCGTGTGTCCTGGCACCTTCCCGAGCATCGACTCTTATTGATCCTCCCGATGTTTCTTCATGCCCATCCCTCACTTTCTTCCGATATGATGCAACCACACGCGACTGCAGAATTCAGCCCAGCAAGGTGATCTCCAGCCATCAAGTCATCAAGGCAACCATCAGCCAAGTCTCAGATTTTACGTGAGAGCATTTTCAGACAATGGTCATCCTGCTCAGATAACCTTCATGCTGCTTTTTGTCTTTAAAGGTTTCCCTATGCTATTTATTTCCAAGGAGAGACGGGCAGATGAGGAGGGGAGAAGGGCTCCATTTCAGGTGGAGTTTGGCAAATACCAGCAGGCATCTCTGGACTTCAGCATAGGGTGTGCTTGTGGCAATGTATTCTCTGTGCCCAGAAGGGAGGCTGTAAGCTCTGCAGCAAGCCTTCCCTGCCCCCGGGAGAAGCTGGGCGTGGCCTCTCAGAGCTGCGGGGGCCACTTGGCTCTGGGTGGCGCAGCTCTTCTGCAGGACGAAGGGCACACAGGCAGGGGCTCAGAAAGGCCTCCCCTGTGTCGTGGCCGATCCTTCCTGCAACACGAGGCCAAGGTGCGGAAGGTAAGAAAAACAGGAGGGAAGTGTAGGACCAGACAGCCTCGGAAAGAATGGGCAGGCACCAACTAGACTCATTTACTGAGACACCACATTTCCTATTTGATTTCTTTTTCACAAGTACAGAGCCAAAAAGGTCCAGCACCTGAACAAGTGTCTTCCCATGCTCAGTGTTGAAATGCAAAGTGTGTCTGACAACCAGAAACGCCCCCACAACCCTTAAATACATATATACATCTGTCACATAATTTAAAAAGGTCTTTATAGAACATAAAAACCTCAACAGTATCCGACCCTAAGAAGTGTTTTCTTCTTTTAATTTAGGGTCCAGTAAAAAATTAGATAACCACCTTTCTGGTACGCCCTACCCCCATAGTTTAAAAAAAAACAAAAAAAACTGATTTTAAATTTAAATTTATACTTAACAAATAGAAAGCTATTTGACTGGCAACTACCTGCAGTAGAAATTCCCTTCAGGCCTCCCCCATGATGGAGAAGGCAGGTGGAACATCACACGTGTGCTTAGTCCTGGGTGAGGGTCCAGTGGGGAGGGCCCCTGGGTCTGTCTGAGCAGCTAACCCTCCCTCCCTCCCCAGTGCCATGTGCCCGCCTGGGCATCGGGGGCAGACAGAGGGTACGCTCCCCGGAGCAGCAGGAGGTGGGGGACCCGCTCAAATCACGAAGTCATCGTGGTCCACGGGGCTGAAGGCGGCGGCTCGCAGGATGTCCAGGGAGTTCACCAGGATCAGGGTCCCTGTGAGGTGCTTCCAGCGCTTGGTGATGGGGTTCTTCATCTTGTCCAGGCCGATGTGCAGTTCCTGGATGACGTCCCGGTAGCTGTCCCCGATCTGGTGGCTCCAGGTGAGGAGAAAGTCGTAGGCGGGCTTCCACATGGCCTGGATGGTGCAGTCGTCCAAAACCAAAAGAGAGGGCAAAGATTAGGAGGTGCTGAGAGAGCTGGTCCGAGTTAGCCTCTCCTAGCACCAGCATCACAAACCCCGAAGCAGAGTTGACCCCGTCCTGGGCTAGCACATCTCAGAGGGAAGAAGGCACTTTGCAGGAGGGCAGGGGGGCAGGACTGAGACAGTCAATTACTAGGTAAGTTGATAAGACGTCCAGGGTCCCCGAGAAGGAGAGAGGGGTCTGGGGCTCTCAAGGAGAAAAGGACACACGATTTTTCCTATGTTGCTTTGTCTTAGTCAATATAACAAAGTATCTTGCTCAAGTTCATGCTTCTCCCTAACAAGAACCCTCTGACTAATCTAATCTTGTTATCTTAAGACATTTATTGTGGGAGTGGGTCTGGTTAAGACCTTTCTGTTGTCAGTTCTCATCTTAATTTGGGAGTGGGTCTGGTAAAAGTACATACGGCCTTGATAAGACTAGTGAGGGGGCACTTTCCATCCCCCTTCTGAAGTCTATGTCAGAAGCTTTCTCAGTCATTTTTCACTTTAATACACAACTCTACTACACAAAAGCTCTTGAGTGATCAAGCTCCCTGGTCCCGAAGCTAAATCTTCTTCAGAGATCATGAATCCAACACCGTTCACTGTAAGCTATCAGTACTGTGCAGTGGCCGAGCCAAAAGAAGGGGCCTCTTTCCTTCCAACGCCCGAAGCACTTTCCATTTGTTTAGAAACTGGCCACATCAATAAAGGATGCCCTTATCCTGGGGCCTTCCTGCTTCCTAGGTCTCGAGATTTCCAGAAGCTTAAAGTGACCTCCACAAACAAGTGAGAAAACAGACTCTCTGAGCAAGGGACCCAACCAGCCTTGGCTGAAGCCGACAGCATACCAGGATCTGTCCACCCTACCCTGTGTGGGGCGGAGCCCTATCATCCCGCGTCCTCCAATCGGGCTGAAGGTAATTTAAGATCAGGATCAGCGAGGGACCGGCAGTTCCGAGGATGCTGTTCCAACGTCCCTCCTGACGGCAGAGCAGCCTCGCCACCACCCAGGGCCTGGCTCCCAACTAAGGATCCCGAGAAGGACGGATGTGCTCCCTCTCATCGTGAGGCTCCGCTGAGCTGAGCACTTGCCTGCACGCTTCATCATCTGTCCTCCTAAAAGTGCTCTAATGTAGACGTCGTCACCACCGCACTGACAGGCGGAGGGACAGGGGACCGCGCTCACCTCACTGTCGACCACCCCGTTCCTGTCCCGGTGGGGGGACTCGTATGCGTCCATCTGCTGCTTGGACACCTTGGCGAGCTTCTCGGCCAGCTCCCGCCAGCGCTGCGCCACCTCGACCGCAGTGGTCAGGAGCACGAAGTCTTGGATGAGTCTGACCACCAGGCCCTGGCAGTCCATCTTCAGTAAGGCCTGAGGAGGAAGGGGCGGGGATGAGGCGGGGCCAAGGGTAGGCTCTGGGTTCACCGGAAGCCGACCCCGCAGAGACCACATGCCGACACCCGGGTGCTGCGTGGCCTGAGCACCCGCACTGCTGAAACCCACGATCGCAGGAGGTACTGGGTCCCCCGCCCACACATCCTCGCCCTCCTGGAACCTCCCGGTGTGACTGTAATCACAGCAGGGTCTTTGCGGATGGAACCAGCTACCCTTTGGCCCTGGAGGACTGGGGTGTGCGCCCCTCATCCAACAACTGGTGTCCTTACACAGACAGAAACAGACTCGCAGAGAGAGGGAAGACGTCCACAGAAAGGTGGTGGTAGGGACAGGGTGATGCGGCTGTGTCACCGGAGCCCCCCGGAGCTGGGAGAGAGGCACGAACAGACACCCACAGAGCCCCCAAAGAAGTCAGCCCTGCGACAGCCCCAGGACGGAGGCAGGATAAACCTCAACTGCTTGGAGCCTCCCAGTCTGCGGTCCTTCCATTCGGCAGCCCCAGGACACGGATGGGCAGGCTGGGTGAGATGACGGCTGTTCATGTGTTCCCACCGCCACTGGGGAAACTGGAGAAGTGATGCCCTTGACCCGGACGGTCAGTGCAGGACAGTCTGGGCGCAGAGCAGGACAAGCTGCCGTCAGCGGGTGGGGAGCCCCGACTCACTGAAGAGATGCGAGCGGGGGCTCAGATTGGGACCTGGAGTGCAGACCGAGATCCGGGACCCCGTGGTTCTGGAGACATGCGAAGGGCCAGGATACAGGGAGGCTGAGAGAAGCCAAACCATCAAGAGTCTCCAGAATCGATGGGATCCCACCCTTGTCAAAACCGTGAGAGATTTCCAACGTGTCTCTGCACAGGGCTAGCTAACTGTGGATGGACAGGGTGTCAGGAGGAGAGAAGCGCTGTCAGCTGGGAAGGAGGCAACGGGCATATTCCCAGCCCATGTCCCCCTGTGACCCAAACAGCACGTGGCCCCACCTTGGACATCATCCTCCATCCAGGTGAGGGGCTGGTCCATCGGGCAGGCTTTCAACACAGGGTTCACTGCCCTGGGGTTCTGTGCAGCCCAGGCTGGAGGTGGGGGTCACACTAACATTTCTGGCTTAAAGAAATGAATCTACATCAGTAGAGCAAACCCACAGGCCTACTGTCCACAGACGTCACCCCAGGCCACACGGACATCTGCTGGGTGTTGGGCTGCAGGTCCTGTGGAGCCAACACAGAGTGTGTGACTTGGGTGGACAGGATGGAGACCCAGCAGGAGGAGAAGACTCAGTGAGGACCAGACCCACCTGGGCCACGGAACCAAGGCTCACCCCAACCTCATCCACCCAGCACATTCCCGGATTACAGCCTAACAGCTGCAGAGGGGAGCCTCCAGGGCCCCAGGAATGGGGTCTGAGGTGCCCTGGGGCCCTCAGACATTGAGGATACGATGGGAGGGATGCTGAGACCAGGCCCGCCTCCTTTCTGTCCCTCTACGCTCTGTCCAAGCACCTGAGTCTGTCACTTCAAGGCTCCACAGAAAAAGTGCTAAAAACATCAACACACCTACCAGCCAGCCCCTCCCCAGCTGAGCCAAACATGCTGTTCGCTTCAAACATTTTGTGAAGCTGCGGGCAGCCTGACATCCGAGCAGGGTCAGTCTGCTGGGCTGCTATTTGAAAGAACGCAGCTATTTTATTAGACTGAGTGTTCTCGTCGAAGCTTTATGCTTATTTGGGGGAACTTAACAAAATGAGGGGATGGTGACTTTGGGCGGGGGGGGCTTCCTTGAATGCATGGACATCTCAATCTTTACCTTTTAAAGCATAAGCTCATTCTGAGGCCGTCCAGGGTCCAAGGGGTTAGCAACTGGCTTTAACGTGGGAAACCAGAAGGGAGGACCATGTGTTCCTTTCTGATTTTTTGTCTTTATAAATAAACTGCCATCACTGAGTCCTTCCGGTGAGCCAGGCACGGGGCACATCTACTCCCCAGAAGCCCCATGGAGAGAAGCCAAGCTCACCCCAGTCTGCAGATAAAATTGAGAGGACAGGGATCCAGTTTTGGAGCTGGTCTGGCCTGCAGACAGCCTGTCCCCGGCTCCCACTCACTGTGCGGGCTGCGTGGTGTCTGATTTATAGACCCCAGAGACACTGGGTGACTTGTCCAGGGTTTCATAGCTGAGGGGACAGGAGGGCTGCATGGTGTCTGTTTTACAGACCCTGTAGATGCTGGGTGCCCTGTCCAGGGTCCCACAGCTCGAGGGGACTGAGGGGAGGCAGGTAAGTTTTCCCGGCACTCAGGCCAATGGACTTGTCAGCTCTGTGGGCACCATGTGACTTCAGGACCTGCACACGAGTCTTCAGTATGATGATTTAGACATTTCAGAAACCGCTCTCTTTGAACTTGGATATCTTCAAGTGACATTGTTTGAAAAAAAATTAAATGCTTGCTAGATTTGTACTGCAGAACATGTTCGTGGTATGGGGGAGATGTGTGACACATTGGTAGAATTCAGGATTTAAGTTCTTTTGCTTGAATAATAATAATTAAAAAAAAAACAAGGTCCTACTGTATAGCTCGGGGAACTATAATCAATATCCTGTGATAAACCATAATAAATATGAAAAAGAATGTCTCACTATATATGTATAACTGAATCACTTTGCTGTGCAGCAGAAATCAACTATATTTGAATAATTTAAAAGAAAAAAAACCTCTTGGCATGGTATGGTTTGAGTCCAGATGCACAGGGGAGGGAGGGTCCCTGAAGGAGCTGGCCGACCCCCAGTGACAACGGTCCCTCCCAGGCTTCCTCAGAGCATCCCAGCAGTACGTGTGTGCTCAGCTGCCTGGCTCTGTACGTGGCCTGTTTTCCAGGGAACAGAACACTTCAGAGTCACCTGCTTCTGCTTCGGGGATCCCTGGTGGGGGTGACCAAAGCTGCTCTCTCCTCAGGGTACAGGGGACAGGGACAAAGGTCCTGAGAAACTCAGCTCCTCTCTCTGGTTCTGGAGCAGCCACAGCTGGGACCAGGTGCTGCCCACACCAACACCAAGGGGTAGTTCATGCATTTTTTTTTTTTTTTTTTCCTGAAGGATGCATTTTGGGTGCCCGCCAAATCTCAGAAATAAAAAATTTCTCGGCTGCAGGGGTCTGGTTCTGGAACATTTTCCCTGCAGCACCTCTTTAATTTCTGCACACACAAGTTAACACAGGTAATAGCAGGAAACAGAAAACACCCAATGAAACAAAGCACGCTGGTCCCAGCTTGACCCTCAGGAGCTGGAGTGACCCGTGACTTAGGTCAGGGAGGCCGAGCCAGGATCTATTTCTTGGCTCTGCAGGCAAGGTGTATCTGCCTTGGCTACCTGACTGTGGTGGGGCGTAAGTCTAGTACAGCCAGCACTTGAGCGAGCGGACACGGCTGTGTTCCAGTAAAGCTTCCTCTACAAAAGCAGGGGCCCTCGGGCTGGGGTGCCAGTCCCTGTTTGAAAAGACATTCTTATGAGAACGGTGCTTTCCTGGTGGCTCCAACACTAAAGCGTCTGCCTGCAATGCAGGAGACCCGAGTTCGATCCCTGGGTCAGGAAGATCCCCTGGAGAAGGAAATGGCAATCCACTCCAGTACTCTTGACTGGTAAATTCCAAGGACAGAGGAGCCTGGTGGGCTACAGTCCATGGGGTCGCAAAGAGTCGGACACGACTGAGCGACTTCACTTTGCTTCACTTCCTATGAGAATATGACAAAGCATCACTCTGCTGTTATCTCATTCCAGCCGAGCTTCCATTCCGGAGATGTTCAAACACCAGAAGGGCAGTCACCATGGCAACCCTGCTCCTCCCTGTATCAGCGTCCCAGGGGCTTCGGGACCACCTGGCAGGAAGAGCCCGGGAACCTCCCTAAGTGCACAGCTGGTAGGTAGCTGCAGCCTCTTCTGGGGGAGGTGGCTTTGCTCCCATTTCAGACAACCCCTTCATCCCAACCTCTCCAGCCCCAACTCTCCCTGATCTCAACACTCCCCTTATTTCCATTCGTTCCTCCAGGTTCTCAGTAGCGTTGATTTTACCTCCGACCTTACCCCTAAAACCACCACCTGCCTAGACTTGTATTCTACAGCAACTTTCTCTTTTTCAGAGAAACTCCCCCGAGAGCCCACAGCATCCTTCCCTCCCACTGCCGCCACCTGTGACTCCTGGTCACCCACCCCGATGGCTTCACTCCTGGCGGTCCCAGGACCAGTTCTGATTGCTGGCCTAGACCCCTTCAGGAGAGGCTGCCCTGCCCACAGCCCGGTTCCTCCTGCAGTTCCAGCCAACTCTCCTTCCTTCCCTCCTCCCCTCCAAGGCAGAAGGACAGACTCCTAGCCGCTCCCTCACGGTGTAACCCCGAGTCAAGAAAAATCTCTTACATTGAAAGAGTGTTGCTAGATGAAAACACTTCCAGTTCTTACTGAACTGGGTTCCTCAGGGTTCTGTCTGCCACCCTCCACACACATGCACACACACACACACACACACACGAGATGGACATCACCCAAACCTTCACAGCCCGAGTACGAGCCAAACCCTTTCCTCCACCCAGTGTAATCACCAAGTCCTAGAACAAACACACAGCCATGTTCTCTACCTGGATTTTGAACCACACTCAGAAAACTCTTCCCCAGACTCACAAAGTGTGTCAAAAGCAGCACTGATGCCTTTAAAACGGAACACACTCTGTCATTTCTCACCCTCATGCATGCTGTGTGTTCAGCTGCTCACTCGTGTCCAACTGTTTCATGACCCCCTGGACTGTAGCCCACCAGTCTCCTGTGTCCATGGGATTTCCCAGAATATTGGAGTGGGTTGCCATTTCCTTCTCCAGAGGATCTTGATCCAGGGATCGAACACGCATCTCCTGCATTGGCAGCTGGGTTCTTTACCCCTGAGCCCCCTGCAGAAGCCCTCTCACCCTCACAAAACAAAACTAAACCCCGGACAAGGGAAC